GGGAGGAAACATGTGGGGTGCTTTGGTGACAGAAAAATCTGGGAGTGTATCTTATAAAATATGACTTCTTAATTTACACTAATAGAAAATATTCATCACACGCTAAAATTAGCTAGCCAGCACTGATCTGCTTTGAACTGTCACCGTCAGACAAACTGTCGCAAACCTTTAAAGCAAAACTAAAACTTGACCATCCTTAGATTTTTGCATTCCTTTCCGACACCTTTAGATAAACTCTCAGATAAACTGGAGGTGGTTTTTCAAAATGCAAACCTGAAGACCATGAAGATACATATTTTTCACACATCTGTTCCTCCTGTGTTGGACCATTTACTCAAACTAATAAACCCAAGTAAAGCCACATGGATGTGCCTCATCCTCGGCAGTATATCATGGGTATTAATTAAGTAAATACTGAGTTTGCAGAGTGAAGGTCCAACTGGTTCTTGTTCAAACCCACAGCAGCAGAAACCGACAGCAGCCAGTTCCTCTCAGCTCAGGGAATATTTACCAGAGACGTTTTTGTTTGGAGAGAGTTCCTGTTACTCCACCCTGACATGGATGTTTGCAGAGTAACAACCGTGCAAAGGAAACATAGAAAAAGATAGAGATCATTTTAGTATTTATAAGGAACTTTATAAGCTTGGTTAGCTTGAACCAGCGCCGTATTTCTATTATAGGGCTCTGGCTTGAACTAGCGGAACTAAACGGGAATAGTACGGGGAAAAGTACTCCGTTGTGAACGCGCCTAATACTTTATAATCTGCAGCAACTTCAGGAGATCAAGCTTAAACTCCATTTTCTTCCAATAGGTGATTGTTCTTAACCGGTTGAACCCCATCCCCCCGCCGGCGGGCGGAAAAACGCATCATCTGCAGGAAACAGCGTCTGAGGGCTTCTTAATATTTAATAAACTATCAATGTTTCATATCCATGTAATGCAGTGGTTCTCAAACTTTTTCTGTCAGGCCCCCCCTTTGGAGATAAAAAAAAGTCGGGCCCCCCCAACACAAATAGTCAGGCTCAGTGGCGGCGCCAGAGATTTCTTTTGGGGGTGCTGTGGGGTAGCTTGACCTTTCATAGAGCGTGCTCAAACATTTAGGGTTTCCCATTAATGTACCGGTCGCTACAGTGGAATTTTCTACTGCAACACTCCCCACGCACACTATGTACCCGCGACTGTTACAATGAAGGCTCGATATCAAGTCTCGGCATATAGGTGTAAGCAGGGGTAAAGTGCTATTTTTATAGGTGGTGTGTGGACCTCACATAGGGGGGTCCGGGGGCATGCTCCCCCGGGAAGATTTTTAAATATTGAAGTTGAAAGCATCAATCTGGTGCACTTTGAGAGCAACATGAGAGATCTATGGATACATCGCTCAACACCCATATGAAACAGAATTGTAAACAGATTTACTATTTCTTTATGGATATTTTATAAATCACTCTTTTAAACTTTATTCTTGTTTTACTGTCATATAGTATTTCATAGCTGTTTTTCATGTATTCTCTTATTTTTTTATAACTATAATGATCATATAAACGTGTGCCTCGGAAATAATTGTTTATATTAATGGTGACCAAAACGTTTGAGACCCACTGAGATAACACTGAGAGTCCTTTAGCTCACTGAGACTCTCAGTCTGACAGGAGAGGACTCTCCTCCACTTTGTTGTTAAAAAAACTCCTTATATCCGTTAGCGTAGCTCGCTAGCACCAGAAGCTAACATCAACGATCTCCGGTACCGGTGCGCTATCTCTCTCTCTCGCTCACGCACGCACACAAAATGGCTCGTTCCACACACACACACACACACACACACACACACACACACACACACACACACACACACACACACACACACACACACACACACACACACACACACACACACACACACACCACACACACACACACACACACACACACACACACACACACACACACACACACACACACACACACACACACACACACACACACACACACACACACAGAGCCGAGCTTTAATGAAACACAGAGACCCAGACGTAATAGTACTGTATCATATTATTTTCGAATCAATAATTTTTCAAAATATGATTTTTTTTTTTTTTTATAATCTTTTTTTTTTTTTAATAACCATTTTTCCTCCTGGTCTCTCGCGCCCCCCCTGTCATGCCTCATGCGCCCACATTGGCCCAAGCCAATGTGTCTGTGTCACTTTGAAATGATTTCTGATAATCCATCAGCAATTAAGTTTTAAGTTTTCAGATTTCAGAGCGTAAGATAGGTTTCGCTTTGGGCAAACTGCGTGCGCATAGCCCCCACTTCTCAATGGTAACGTTGGTGTGTATGTGGAAACTCCCCTTCGATTTGATTGGCTCTTTTCCCCTTTTAGAAGTGTAGTTATGGTCATTTGTTCTGGAAATGTCATTTTCGAGCCTGAGACCTGAGAAACAGGCTTGGGGCTTAACGGGTTAAGCACTGAACTGTTAAATATGTGTTAAATCACAGAGGTGTAAAGCAAGAAGGTGTCATAACAAGAACCTCCTTAAAAATAAACCCGTTAATGTAATTAATGCTAAGAGTTTTTATTATTATCTGAAACATCTATTTTTAAGTGTTTCCTGTGTTTTGCAGAAGGTGTGGGCAGCAGGCTCTCCACATCCTGTGGAGGATGTTGGCACAGAACAAGTGATAAAGCAAGACGGCTGAGACAGCGAACAGGAAGTCAGCAAACGTATTAGTTACATAAGAAACATACCTTCTTTAGAGATGATATTATGTCAGAAACACTGACTGTAATCACACCTGTTAAATAACCTAAGACATAAACCAAGCTTTCTTTCAATTATTGGACAGGGGACAATTTACATTTTACACCATTACAAGATGCACACTTTTTACATGACTTTCTTTTGGATACACTATACTATGACTTATTTCATTATATATTTAACTATACTATCTATGGCTTTTTTATGATATTTTCGACATACTACACAAATACTTTTTTGACATTTAGAGATATTATACAATGACTTTTTCTTGATATTTTAATGATTCTTATGATATTTTCATGACTTTTCTCTTGTTATTTCGAACTATTAACTTAGATTTTTGCTATGATATTTTTGACTGACTACACTACAGTATAACCCTTTTTTAACAAACTGTACCATGTCTTTTATATGACATTTTCAATACACCATACTATGACTTTTTCCATGATATCTTTTCAAATATTAAAGGTCCCATGTCATGGCAATTTCTACTGATCATAATTCCATTGTTGAGGTCTACTAAAATAGATTTACATTGTTCAATGTTCCAAACTCACATTGGTTTCTCATACAGCATCTCTGTATAGTATGTGTATTCACTCTCTGTCCTACACGGCTTGTTGGAGCTCCTGCCCCCCCCTCCCCTCCCTGTGAGCCCAGTGGCTGTCTGCGAGACAGCAAGACACCGCAGAACTCAGCCTGGGCACACACACACACACACACACACACACACACACACACACACACACACACACACACACACACACACACACACACCCGCAGCCTGGCTGGGAGTTTGTGTGTGTGCCCAGGCTGAGTTCCGCGGTGTCTTGCTGTCTCGCCGACCCCACACCAGTGAGCCAGCTCACAGTGTCCTGCTCCTCGCAGCAACGTCCCACCGAGTGTGTGTGAGGAAGTCCGCGGATTGGTCCAAACGTAACGGCTCCGCGGACGTAACGTAACGTCATTATACCCGAAATACGTCACTATACCCGAAATACGTCACTATACCCAAGAAGTAAACAATGTAAAAAGAGAAATCTCCAACGAGGCGTTCTGGGGCAGCACAGACAGGTCTTCTCTGTGTTAGAGTTTTACTCGCTACAGGGTGTACTTTGAGGGTTTGTGACTCTGCAGACCGTTCACATGCAGAAAAAGCTTCATAACACAAGGGGACGGTTAATAACCGGAAAAGCATGACATGGGACCTTTAAGACATACTATACTATGACTGTTCATTTGTTCAACATACAGAGAGATACATTCAACAATCTGAGTCATGGCTCACCTAAAGTATCAAAACTCTCTAACACTGGCTGGTGTCTGCCTGTTAGTTAAGGAAGCGCTTGATTTGACGTGCAGCTAACTTCCTCCTCTGCTTGGGGTCACCATCATGGCGGGCTAATCCCAGATTAGCCTCCCAGAGGGACGTCGGTCCAATCTCCTTCATGTCTAGCCGAGTTGAGCTACAAGCTGCACTGATTTACAGCCCACACTGAGAGCAGCAGCACACACCACAATGACTCCTCTTTATGTAACACTCACTTGTTATGGGATCTTAGTGGATTTCCAGGCACTCTCACTGAACTGTGGCCCGGTTGTGGTGTTACCAACAAAGTTATGACCTCTGAAAGGGGGATTGAGAGGCTTTGGGGAAATGTTCTCTCTCACACACACACACACACACACACACACACACACACACACACACACACACACACACACACACACACACACACACACACACACACACACACACACACACACACACACACACACACACACACACCACACACACACACACACACACACACACACACACACACACACACACACACACACACACACACACACACACACACACACACACACACACACACACACACACACACACACACACACACACACACACACACACACACACACACACACACAGTGGCCTGAAGTGACACACATCAACGCGTGAAAAAAAAATGGCAGACGCACATCTGTACCAAATCAGAACTTCAGAGAGAGAAGAGGAAGTGGTTGAACTGGAAGAGAAGGCACAGCGTTGCCTCAGTGGAAATATTACACTTTCAAGGCTAAAATACCTACAAAATAAAGTCAGTGAACAGAGGCTGTCTGTTTGCAGGGATTCAAACACATGTGGTTGTGATATAAATGCACAATCCAGCTCAACAGCAAAGGAAAAACACAGTGGACGAACATTATTTATCTTCCCTGCCGTGATTTATTTAAAATGTCTGAGATTTAAAACAACAAATCATTCATGAGGTATAGTACTGCAGTCCAGATGTTCTATTCAAGTCTTTAGACACATGGCAATGTCATCAAGAGAGAAACAGACATATAAATGTTATCTGTTCTCACTCACATTTCCCCTCCAGACGTCTCAAACTCTGGAGGGATTTTAACATATTCAACATTTTTATCACGGTACAAATCTAGTTCATTTATATAGCATATTTAAAACAACCACAGTTGAGCAAAACAGGATCAAAGTATCAAAGAAAGGACAAATAAAAACACTCTATTTTTATTGTCGTTAAGCTTGGATCCCTAACCCTAACCCAATGTCTTGATCCTGGTATGTTTGCTCTCATTGAATTGACACATGATATGAATACATTTAATTTCATAGCACTCTTTAAAAACAGACTTAACATACATACAGAAGGACAGAGCAATCATGTAGCAAAGCCAATATAACGGCACAATCAGAATGGGTTTTATTACCAAGTAGGTTTACACATACGAGGCATTTTCTTGTTTATATGTGGTGCATACAAAAACAGAGAGTAAAATGTATCAATGTACAATCAAATAAAGTAAAAAGGTGCTTTATGACATCAGGGCTTGAAATAAAGCTTTTCAAAATCATTCGAAAAACATTGAATGGAAGTTAAATGCTCGTCATTACTGTTATTCACCATTTCGACCAACAGTTTTCTGCTTCAGGTGACGTTGAATTCTCCTCAAAAGGATCCACACTCTATAAACTCTGACTTGGTGGACTTGTTGACGGACGCTCAGGAGGACAGGACGGTGTTTCTGCTCCACTCTGGATCTCGAGGAGGGATGTAGTTTTTGGAAAGCTGTTTCGGTGTCGCTAACATTTCAACTCGATCACTCGCTGTGGCTTTCCTCGCCGCCTTTGAAACCTGATTTGGGAAACTTCAGAAAGTCATCAATCTAAATGTTCACTTAAAATCTTTCTATGTAAGAGCCAGACTTTAAAAAACAAAGATGGAAAGGACAGATAGTAAAAATCTGTCTGTGGTGTTTCAGCAGAGGACGCATCCGGTAGCGGTTTGGCCTATGAATGGAAACTGATGGAAAATTCCACATTAATTGAAACTCATCATGAGAAAACAGCTCTACAGTTCTCGACATGGAGCTGGTTTGAACAGCTGGAACATATTTTAAATTAATTGACTGATGATGTCGAGCAAACAGACATTCAGCCAAAACTGTTCTTGCTTTGTTGAGACGAGTTTCTTCCAAGACTGCTTTGAAAGAATGTACAATAATAACTGAATGTGGAGTCCTCTACTGTTTAGGAGGGTTTTAAAAGAACCTCCACTAACCAGAGATGGCAAAAGTACACACATCCTTCACTCAAGTAGAAGTACAGATACTCATGTTTAAAAATACTCTGGTAAACGTAGAAGTACTGACTAAACTAAACTAAACTAAGCTGTTTTAAAGAGTACCTGACCTCCCTTTATATTAATAGAACAATAATGTCATTGTTAGCTAATGAATGTTTCCATGCTGAACAACGGCAACATGACAACGTTTTAATTGGTCCCTCTTCTTTAGAGAAGACCAGGAAATGATGGATACACGGATCGTGTTCAAATCAATAGGCACGCAATGACTCTAAATAATAATGATCACGCCACCAAACACACATTCAGACTAAAGGAACCAGCCTGTTTGGACAATGTGAGAAGTAGAAAGTACAAGTATTTGAGTTCAACATGTAAGAAGTAGAAAGTACAGGTATTTGAGTTCAACATGTAAGAAGTAGAAAGTACAGGTATTTGTGTTCAACATGTAAGAAGTAGAAAGTACAGGTATTTGTGTTAAAAATGTAAGTAGTGGAGTAAAGTACTGTGAGCAGAAAAATAAGTAGTGGAGTACAGTAACGAAGTATTTGTACTGCACTACTTCCCACCTCTGCCACTAATAGATAATGAAATGATTTGTCGGTGCTCTTACGGTCCAGATTGAGTCGGCTGGAGGTCCGATCTGGAGGCAGATGTTGCTCTGCTTCAGTCGGGGCAGAGACAGTCTGATCAGCCGCGGAGGGATTTGAGCCGTCTTTGAAGCAAAAGAAACGATGGAGGCAACGCTCTGTGAAAAAAAAACATTCCGACCTTAGACACCTTTGTGGTTATTATCAAGTCAAGTTTATTTAATATAGCCCAATGACGCTCTGTGGAACAAAAAAATGATACAGGGAATTCAGACCTTAGACTCCTCCTAAACAGTATTTTGATTTTTCTGTGTACACAAACATATTTTGAGATTGACAATAAAGTTGACTTTGACTCCTTTGTTGTTGTTATCTATTCAGCTGTATTTAATATAGCCCAATATCACTAATCACTTCAGTCATTTTCCAACCCTCGAAGACCCACATAGGGCATTTCTGTTTTTGTATATTGTTGTGTTTTGTCTTATAAATTGTCATTTCTTTACAGTATAATCAAGTTGTACACATCCCAGAAATCAGCAGAACCTCAGCTAATGATATATGTCACTCATTAGAGACTTATATACACTATAATAGGGGATATTTGTCCATTAAAAAAAAGAAAAAAAACGGAGCTTGAATTTTTTACTTATTTCATTAAAATAACTGCTAACCATAACATTGAAAGAAACATTCAACACAGAAAATTGCAAACATTTATTATCATTGTATCAGAACTGATTAGAAGATTCTAACTTATTCTGTTCATTAGTTATCCCCATTCTTTTGGGCAGTGTCCATGGGCGTTCTTTTGCCAGGAATTGTCATTTTTTGTGCTGCCAATTTTGAAGACACATGATATATATCATGGCAGTTCCTGTCCACAATCACACATGGCATGCTGAGCAGGTTCGTCTGCATTTTCATCGACATCGTCACCTTGAAAAAAATCAGCTCCAAAGCCTCAGCTGTAGTAAACTTCCTTGCCATACCTCAGTCTACTTTTAAGACACTAATGGCGCTTTTCCACTGCAGGACCTAGCACGGCTTAGCACAGCTTAGTTTGGCCTTGATAGGCCAGTATCACTTTAAGCTGCGTTTCCATTGGGGTAGTTACTATAGTAACGCATTGTAGGTGGGGCGATCGGCTGTTCGGCAGGCGGAGCGACGCTGCGTAAAACTGCCGTGACGTCTTCTTCAATGCGAAACATAAAATCAAAAACATCTGCCGTTAGCTGTTATCCCTCAGAGCTCACAGCTCCTCATATCTGTTCAGAAACTAGACAAAAGTTAAACAAGTACAAACCACAGACTGCCTGTGTCATGGCGAATACAGTCGCTGGTTTATTTATGTCTGTAGGCCGTTGTTGTGAGTGTGGACGGTCGGAGCATATACTGCGTTAGCTTAGCCTGATCGATCCGATCTCCATTCAGAAAACACAAATGTTTTTCGCCTGCAGACCGGTATCAGTATGTTGTTACTTCGGCATCATTTTGAAACGTGTATTACAATGAAATCACCGTAAAATATGTTCATTTTGTTGTAGTTGTAGCCCCCTTGTCAGCGATTCTCTCTGACCATTTAGCAGTCGAGAGTGTTGACGTCACTAGTTTAGCATTGTCAGCCCGGTTGTTGGCCCGGTAAGAACCTCGATTTTGGAGGGCCAGAAAAAAGGTGAAAAAGTAGCCCTAAGCCGGAACTACCCCTAGTGGAAAAGCAACAAAAAAGCTTAAACCGTGCTACATGCTGCAGTGGAAAAGCGCCATAAAAGAACGTATTCCAACTTTTATTTTGTTTTCGTGTGTGGAATTATACGGGCTCTCGTTTCAGTACACAAAACATATTACTATGTTCGATCTGAATTTACTTTAAAATAAAAACATCAATATTGATTCTGACTCTTCTACATCCAACTCACAGGTTTATCATTGCTTTGAGAAAAAAGATTATTAATTTACCCCTTTTAGAAGTAATGGTCATTTGTTCTGGGAATTTCATTTTCGAGCCTGAAACCTGAAGAACAGGCTCGGGGCTTAACAAGTTAAAGCAACACATCAGGTGACTCTCAGCTGATTCCTCATTCACTGCAGGAAGTGAACAAGAGCAGACGTAGCAGATATTTGTTGTCCTTCGGAGCTTAAAGACTATCTGTTCAGAGATAGAAAAAGTATTTGACATTCACTAACACACTAAGAGAGGAAATGGCGCAACAAGAAATAATCAGCTGTTCGATCTGTCTGGATCTACTGAAGGAACCGGTGACTATTCCCTGTGGACACAACTACTGCATGAACTGTATTCAACGCCACTGGGATGACAATCTAATCTACAGCTGCCCTGTGTGTAGACAGGCCTTTGCACCAAGGCCTGTCCTGGTGAAAAACACTATGCTAGCAGACTTAGTGGAGGAGCTGAAGGAGACTGGTTCTGCTGATCACTGCCATGCTGGAGCTGAAGATGTGGGATGTGATTTCTGCACTGGGAGAAAACTGAGAGCCTTGAAGTCCTGTCTGCAGTGTGTGGCCTCATACTGTGAGAAACACCTCCAGCCTCATTATGATTCTCCTGCCTTTAAGAAGCACAAGCTGGTGGAGCCCTCCAAGAAGCTCCAGGAGAACATCTGCTCCCGTCACAACGAGGTGATGAAGCTGTTCTGCCACACTGATCAGCAGTGTATCTGTTATCTCTGCACTAAGGGTGAACATAAAGGTCACGACACGGTGTCAGCTGCAGCAGAGAGGACTGAGAGGCAGAGACAGATGAAGGGGAGTCGACAAAACATCCAGCAGGGAATCCAGGACAGAGAGAAGGAGGTGAAGCTGCTTCGGCAGGAAGCAAAGGCCATCAATGGCTCTGCTGATAAAGCAGTGGATGAGAGTAAGAAGATGTTCACTGAGCTGAAGCAGCAGGTCAGATCCCAGCAGAAGAGTGAAGTGAGTCGAGTCAAAGAGCGTCAGGAGAAGCTGGAGCAGGAGATCTCTGAGCTGAAGAGGAGAGACGCTGAGCTGCAGAAGCTCTCTCACACAGAGGATAACAACCAGTTTCTGCTCAACTACCCCTCTCTGTTACCTCTCAGTGAACCTAAACACTCATCCAGCATCAAAGTCCATCCTCTGCGCTACTTTGAGGACGTGACAGCGGCTGTGTCAGAAATCAGAGATAGACAACAGGACGTCCTGAGGAAGACGTTGAACGACACCTCACTGATGGTGAGTGAAGTGGAAGGCGTACTGCCACCTCCAGAGCCAAAGACCAGAGCTGAATTCCTAACATATTCCGATGAAATCAAATTTGATCGAAACACAGTAAAAAGTGTAGACCTGGAATACACAGACACATTCACTTTTTATTTTCAGCTCCTGAGTACAGAGAGTGTGACTGGTCGTTGTTACTGGGAAACGGAGTGGGGTGTTGGGAGGGGGCTTTGTGTAGGAGTTACATACAAGAACACCAGCAGAGCAGGGGGATGGGAGGAATGTTTGTTTGGATTCAATGATAGTTCATGGGGGTTATATTGTTTAAATGACGGTTATACCTTTTGGTACAACAACATCAAAACTCCCGTCGCAGTTCCTCAGTGCAACAAAGTAGGAGTGTACCTGGATCACAGCGCAGGCGTTCTGTCCTTCTACAGCGTCACTGAAACCATGACTCTCCTCCACAGAGTCCGGACCACATTCACTCAGCCGCTCTATGGTGGACTTCTGTATTAATTACAGTTCTATTGGAGACACTGCTGAGTTCTGCAAACTCAAATAATCATTTAAAGGGGCCATGTGTTGTTCATTTTCATTTTCAGGTTCCTATTAGTAGTTGTTTCCTTTACTGGGACATGTATCAATGCTTTAATGTTCAAAAAGCTCTTTATCTTGAACTCATTTATCTCAATGCTTGCCGCTGACAGCTGATTGTTGTGGCATTTCTTCAGATATCAATCAAACATTATGGGCTCAGCTGTACTTTGACATATTGTCTTAAGTTGGTATGTTGTAAATGTTAGTTTCTTTAGTGTGTTTAGCTATCACTGCTCATGATGATGTTTGTTTCTCTGCATGAATATTTACATTTCTTTATGCTCTAAAATATTGTTAAAAATGGGTTTTCATGTATTTCTATGTTGCTGACCCTCTTCCACTGCAAGGGTCTAGAGAAGAACTAGCAGAACTACTTCCTGGACACTTTGCTCTGTTTGTGTGCATTTGTAAAGACATGTTCAATTACAATGTGTTGTTGTTGTTGTTGTTGTTGTTATGAGATATCATAGATCTGTAAATATCATGATCATATTAATTAATGAGGAATGATTCATTATGTTCTTATACATAGCGGAGATTCTGCTGTGACAAAGTGATTGTGTTGATGAAATCATTAAACCGGTGATAAGAAATAAAAACATTTAACAAAGTTGAGTTTCTCCTTCCTGATTACAATTTGCAATTCTTCTGCATATCTGTAAATTATATACAATCATATGTATAAACAGTATATTACAAGCCTATATTTCTGCTACTGCAACATTTTTGACCCTCCTGTTGTCTTCGTTCCCCCCCCCCCCCCCTTACTTTGGTGTTCCCGGTCAACCGGTCGACCGGGAACACCATGGGTGTTACAAAGTTGACTAAATCATCCAAAATGCAATGAAAGTGGTGATCAGCAATTTCAGATGTTCAAATGTCTACTTTGAAGGATAACATAAAGCCTTAATCGAATGTAAAACAAAAAAGTTATGATTGATGAAAGTAGTAAATCGGTCAGATCTGACCCGAACACAACAGGAGGGCTAAAGAACATTTTAATTATCCAGAATTGTGTATATTGTTTATATTTGATATACTATTTTTAATTGTTAACTATTTTCCACTTTGTAAGTATTTGTTTTTTTAATGTTGAGCACACTGGTCCTGTAACAAAATAATTTCCCAATTTGGGATAAATAAAGTATATTATATAATCTAACATTTATCCAATGTTGACATTTCTGTTCTGCAAATGGATGCAAATAGGCACATATTTAGTAAAATAATTATGATCTGTTAATTATGACCTGGGTGTTTCTCAATGTCGAGGACGCTTCTTTGGTAGGACATGTCACTTCCTTCAGAAGCGAGGCAAGAATCCCTCCTAGCCTCGGAAAACGAAGAATGGTGGAACAGGCTAACAGGTGTGCGTCATATGCGAGGCCCCGCCTTAAATGGAGCGTGATTTCCACCAAAGATTTGGGAAATTGGTCCGTCCGCAAAGCATTGTGGGGATTTTAAGACCGCGGAGGATACACATGTGCAGCCTCGAAATTTCCCGCAACGAAGGACGCCGGCCTCGGTAGAATTCCAAGGATCCTGGAAATTGGAACAGTCCAGTCGGTGGGACTCGATGACGTAGCACCCTTGAAATAGTGGCTCTGGAGGATCCTTCCTCGACATTGAGAAACACTGCGTCTGTTGACGCTTGATCAGATCAGAATATTGACGTATAAACATTATGGCTCACTTTTAGACTGAAATAAAAATAGGAATACAAATATGTATTAACTTCTTATATAAACAAGTTGTAGAAAGAAGCTCCAATAAAAAGTAAATATTTTTATATTTTGTTTTATTTGATTTGATTTAGTTAGAATGTGTAAAACAATAATACAAAAAATAATAATGAAATGAAACATGAGAATTATTATAATATACAAACTTAAGCAGTATATTAACTTAAGAGGATAAAGTAAAATGTCCAATAAAGGATCAAATAATATTACATTTGAATTCTTTTTTTTAAATACACATATTACATACATCATAATCTCAGTGGGTAAGTCCTTCAGGATCTCACCTCTCTGTTGCTGTGGAAGTCCGGACGGATGAGTTTTGGGATGGAGAGCTGCAGGAGTCTCGGTGTTATCACTGCAGAGGTTTTCAGGCGGGGGTCGACGTGCCAAATGGGACAACTCCTCTCACAGTGAGGAGTGTGAGGAGGCCTGGGGGAGCAGAGAGACACACATGGGAAAAGTCAAGAGGTTTCTTATTGAGCTTTATTTGACTGAATACACAAATGAGTTTTGTCTTCTAAAATGTGCACTTTTCTTAGTGATTTAAAATATTTATCCACAAAATATGTTTTCAATGGCAATGACAATAAAAGACAATACTACAGTATGTTGAAAACCAAGTGTTTTTTAAAGGAAATGAAAACATATTATTACACAACTTAATAGAATTCTTATAGGTCAACTTGGACTTTCCAGAGGTCCGTTATGTTTCCGCTAACAGACCGTTACTAAGGAGAACAGACCGTTGCTAAGGAGAATCGGCCATTGGTAGGAGAACAGACCATTGCTAAGGAGAACAGACCGTTGGTAGGAGAGCAGACCGTTGCTAGGAGAGCAGACCGTTGCTAAGGAGAACAGACCGTTTCTAAGGAGGATCAAGGGGACTATGTGCAGTCATATCAATCCGCAGAAAGAAGTCCGGTCAATTAAACGTCAGCTGTGAATAACACACTTTAGTTTTCCTCCGTTAGAAAACACAGTGGAATACTTTTTTGATTATTAATTTTTATATTTGTGAATTTGTTGATTTATGATGGCTAAACTGTCTCCAGTAAAGAGAGATCAAGAGAAGGAAAGAGGTACTAACCCTGAAATATTACCTATACAGTAACAGTTATTAAACATATGATTCCTTATACAGATGGTGACCAAATTGCAAGGATTCATTTTATGAACAAATAAAATCCTTAGCAACCGATATAATAATTCCAGTACCTTTTATCACAGTAATCTTTAATAAAAGGTTTACTGTATATCACATATGTGTCATTTAAGAAGAAGTACTCAAAGTAAAGCCAAGTTGCTTGTGCTCCTTTGTCTGCTTTATTCATTTATTTCGATGTATTTTTGGTTGTTTTTCTGGAGCATCCATAAGAGAGGATTACGTTTAGACAGCTGGCGACTTTTGTTTTTTTTAATCAATGTAATGCCTGCTTTCTAAATTACAACAGCGCCTATTCATTTCGATGTCATGATTTTAGTTTTGTGTGTTCAGACATGGTTTTATGTTGAAATGCAGTTCTCTTTCTTATCCCCCTCCATGTTGGTCCCTGATGGCTTTTGTCCGGATGTTCCTCATGCTACAGATTTATGGATTTATGTGTTTTTCATTGTCAACAGCTTTTTGGTACTTTGAACCCTTCTCCTCATTCTGCATTTGGATCCTGATTTCCCCTAACCCTGACATTAGAGCATTGAATTCAGAGAGTAAAGCAAATGTCTGTGCAGCCCTTCAACATGTTCTGCTGCTGTGTTCGGGGTTTATAAAAATATGTTCTGTCTGCGAGCGTCCCCAGGGGTCCTGAACTGGGGACAATAATCTCTATTGTCTCGACTCATATGCTCCCACAGTCTGACACTGAAATAACAGATGTCCAAACGCTGGCTTCCTCACCGTAGTGTTGGAGCCTGGACCGCTCATATTTAACTGTATGATATCAAATATTCTGCTGCCATTAAATCCTAGACTGTAGACACACTGAGGGGGAAGGAAAGCAGTTTGAAGTTAAAAAAGATGGATGTCCGCTGGAGGATGTGGACATAATCTCTAAAACAGGAACCTCAAGGAGTTTAGTTTTGTGCTGGTGATTTGTTTTAACATTAAATCAGTGATGAGTGGTTAGATATGGAGAATATGTAACCAAATGTTTGAGGTAAATGGACCATAACAATTCAAATAGAATAATTGAAATTACAAGGCAAACGTTTAGCACTGTCCTTTACTAAGTGAGGTTGTTTTATAATAATAATATGTCAAAAAACTAAAAGAAAAATCATATGTCTCAGAGTCCATGGTGAAGTCTTCAGATTGGTAATTTTGTGTGATAAATAGTTAAATATTTAAAAAAAATAGCAAGTAGAAAGTCCTCAGAATTGAGCAGATGGAACCGATAAACGAGACATTTTTGCGTGATAAATAACCGCTCTGGCTCCTCGCTTCTTAAAATAAGCAAAGTCTCGTTGTGGTTACAGCTTCAGTGAGACTTTAGTTATGAGCCGTTCAACCAAAGAATGTTTATCCTCCTCAGATTGTTTTCTTAAAATGATTTCTAGAGGCCTGTAGTGGTGAAAGTAATCAGTATTTCCCTTTAAAAAAACTTGAGAAAAGTAAGAATAATATGTACGATATTTTGTGGGACAGAAATATATACGTATTTATTTTTTTATAGATATGTTTAAACTTTAAGATCGGTCAATCTTGAGGTAATATATGATGGTTTAGGGACAATGTTTTTGTATTTCCATAAAATGTGTATTGTTGTAGTGGGAGTGATTTGGTGGTCTGGCATTCCTGAAATGTATTTGTAACATTGTTTTGAAAAGTGCTGTTTCAATAAGGTTTATTATTACATAACTTTAAAAAAAACAACAACTGTACGAGCAGCGTAGCGGTGTGTAAGGGAGTCTTTTTAAAATCGCTACCCGAATGGGCACAGCTCCCCAAGGGCTCATGGCAGGGGCGGACTGGGACTAAAATTCAGCCCTGGAAACTGACCCAGCCACATGAAATGTCAAATGTTAGAAATCCGCTGTTTATTGTTTAAAGTTTTACGTCCGACTCGCTCCTTTTTCCCTCTCTGTGCACAGCTCCAGTTTGGGCATCGGCCTGTCATCAGATTTCATTTTGAGCTGCTTCCTGTAGCGGAAGTTTAGTAAAATTATTTTTGATGAAATACTCCAAATCTCCACCCTCCATAATTGCACTTGCTTCAGTTGCTTGCTACTTTTTAAGGGCAGTGATGACAGTTACAGTACGAACTGAAGTTGATGCGATTTGATTGGATTGTGAGGCATGACGTGCATCATCTGATTGGTCAATCCCTCAATTCTTTTCACCAAGGGAAGCCAATTTCGGCTAGCCTCCTCTCGCAACAGAGAGTGCAATCTACTGTTTCACCATAACATCTAGAGGGGCGCTGTTTCACTCTTTGTAAAATACTCAATGAGAATGGGGGAGAGACGGGCCGGCGGAATAATTACCGAAACTAAACGAAGTGTTTTTATGTATTTATTAAAATGATAACTACAATCCAAAAAAACAGGGGAAGCCTGGCTTCCCTTGGCCTCCAGGAGAAAACGCCACTGAGTTCAAGGGATAATTCTCACCCACCTCTTGCTCTGCACGTGTGCCAGTTGAGATGGTTCTTCCAGCAGCTCAACTCTCTGTCCCTCATTATGAACGCAGGAGGCTGGCTGTATATCTGAACTAGCGCCCTCATCATTCTCTTCATCATCTTGCACTTGTTCTAAGCTGCTGCTGATAATGCTCGTAGCAGCGCTGCTGCCAAAAAGGTCTGTCAATTTGCGACATGTATATGCTTCACCTGCTTGTGACTTCATCTTTTTTGTTCTCGCCTTCTCGGCCCCACCTTTTTCTTTTCGTTTTCTTTGATTTGTATCCATGTTTTTTTATTCTTCCTGTCTGCCGCGGCGTCTAATCCCTTCTCTTCGTGTGGCCGGTCTTTTTTCTTCTTCGTGTGTTGTTGACAGATAAGAACCACACAACTGCATTAGCGGCCGCTGTCGCCCGTCAGCGCAACTTAAATGATGCCGTTAAACATTTTTTTTTTTAAAGGGCCGGCCGGCCGTCAACGGCCCCTGACGACCGGCCGTTCTGTGGTTCTCCAGATTCTACAGATGGCCAGTCCGCCCCTGGCTCATGGGCTCCGTTGGGTCGCAATCAACCTCCCCGCGTGTCCCGTGACAGATGCGCTTGTTTTCGTGCACGCGCTACCATCGCCGGCCAGCAGATGCCGACACATTCCCCGGTGTACAAAGCGAAACGTCCTTTGAATAAAATATAGCCCAGTTAAAAGTTAAACTTCTAGATGCATTTTCATCTGCAAAAACCAACACAACAATAAAACTGTTTTAGCTAAGATGTTAGCTTGTTAGCTTAAAAGAAGGGTAATATAACTTCAGATTGTTTGTATTTCACCCTCCGTCTGAAACCAGAACCCAGTCTGCTCTGATTGGTTAGCTGGCCGACTCTGTTGTGATTGGCCAACTGCTTAGAGTTGTCCCGCCCCTTAGCCTATCACGTAAAATGTGTTGGAGCGCTAGCCAATAGAAACGTGAGTTAGGGATGTCACTATTACAGGAGTAAACAAAGGAGTAAAATGGAGGCGTTTCCGGCATGGAGGTTGTTCCTTCTTGAGGGAACACATGGATTTTAGCCTTTGCAGACCATATACATGCACCAAAACCTATGGAACACACTACAGGAAAGGGTAAACCCTGAAAAGCACAATAGGGCCTCTTGAAAAAAAGTAAGCGTAAATATAAAGGCACTAATTTGACCTGTGTTGTTTGGTTCTGCTCCACTTGTCCTCACTTTATTGACTCATGTTGGATTTAATGAGGCTTTTACCGGTTTTCCTGGGCGCTGCGCCTCCTGCTCCCGGGTGTCGACAGGCGGACAATGTGCTCGTACTGGGATGGTTTGGAGGAAGGACGTGGGGTCTTCCTGGAGAAACTCGCCTCCTCCTCTTCCTCATCTTCCTCCTCCTTCCTGCAGGAAAATGGAAGCTATTACCACATCCATTATGTGTTGTTGGTCTGCGACAGAAGAATGTCTTGAGCCATGAGGAAGGAGGAGGAGGGGAGACAGAACAATGGACGAGGTAAAATCATCTCTACCCACAAAGACATCTACATTTGTTAAACTCCAGTCGAGACAATGGGCTGACACATAACGGAGGATGAATGCTCCCAGCTGACAGTTTAATTCTGGCTCATTGTTTGGCTGGAAAGAAAATATGTTGTCACAGTTATCATGTTAAAGGATTTAAGGCATCATCTCTGCAAAGCTATTCCTAACATAAGGCTGGTCATATGTTATGAAAGGCATGAAAAGACCACACATTGATTCAAGTAGTGACTGAAACTTACTGAGAGTAGTCCCAAACAAATGCACTATTTATTTGTTGACGTTATTTCCCCTTAAACTACAGCCTCCAGCTGTTTTACGAAGTTGCTCAGCCGGATTTAAGTCTATTTGTGACACATTTTTAAAGATTTATGCCATCAAGATGAATCATTTCCTCCAACAAAAAAAGCCAAATCTCACATCTGAGAAGCTCGAACCTGCAATTGATGGTTTTCGCTTGATTAATAACTTTGAAGATTTATCAAAACTTCAAAATCTGTCTGTTTATTTTTGTTTATTGACATATTAAGAAATGGTCGAATTGTTTCAGAACTACAAGTCAATCAACAGAAAATTAACCTGCAAACATTTTAACATTAGATTAAATGTTTAAGTACGGAAGAACGGTCTCTTTGTAAGAACTGGAACTCTCTCTTTTGACTGTGTTTTCATAATTCCATACCATGTTTTTGTAGCATTCAAACTGTTAACAGTGGCTTTATGGCCCCCCTGAACTGCAAAATGTCACTCAAAGAGACATGTGCCAACCAGAAAGATTCTCAAAAAGACAACGGCTAAGAAAATTACATAAAATGACTACAGAGACACAAAACAGCTACAAAAACAGGCTTAAAACCAATAAGTCTGTGTATCCCGCTTCGGAGGCTCACTGTCTCAGAATCCAGCCACGCTATAACACAACAAACAAATTGAAGATGTCCATGTATCAGTCCATAATGAAAATATACAGTATAGCTGCACCAGCTGCCATACATCTTTCCACACTATTAATAATGACTTTGACCAGTAATGTTGTGATATTTGATTAAGAGGAGCAGGAACAGAGTCTGACGGGTAATCAGATTAGAAATGAACTACGTGGACTGCAGAGTGAAAGAGCAATATAACACATTTATCACAATTTAGATGTCGTATTCACCAATACAAATCAAGCCAATGAACACAATCTCTATATTTTCATTTGCAGCCTGAATCCACGGTATCTCCTCCGCTCTGAATTTCAGATGAACTTCCTGCTCCAAAGCAAGCCAGCAGGTGTTTGCTGTCATCTTCAGTTACAGTGAATTACTGTTATTTACTCTGCGAGGAGCACTTCCTGTGTGGGCTTCTGATTGAGTTACGTGGTTATGTGGCTGTGCTTAGAATCTGACAGCTGGGGGGAGGGGACAACAAACATTATCAAAATAAAAGCCTCTAAAAGACGGCGCTAATCGATCCTGAAGCCCTCGGAGGAGATGGGGATGCAGCTGCTGGCTTCGGTCCTGAACATCACTTTGCATTTCCTGAATACACTCAGTGCCAAAGCAGCATCAGAGTCATTATCTCTTCAGCTTTGCAAACATTTTCTCGAATATGTCGATGCAGCACAGGATTATAAAAGGCTCGTGTCAGACCTCTCGTGCCTTTTTCAAAAGAGTCATCAATACTGTACCTGCGGGGGTCCTCCCTTGCTGAGAAGTCTCTTTTGTGTCTGGACAGGTATTGGATTCTTGCACTTGGAGCGGCTCCTGATGCAGAAAGCGGCCATATCGGATCCTGGTTGCCCCAAATCACCTTCTCACTGATCAAGAAAAACATGAAACGTTTACAATAAGGAGCAGAGATGATGAAGAAGTTGGTGGAGAAGAAAGATGTTGTGTTTGAAGGAACCTGGGGATACGGTAAACATCATGATACAGGTGTTACACTTCAATGTTTTGTGATTCTCTAAGCAAGGTGATATATTACAAACTTTTTTTTAAAATCCACATTGCACACATTTAGAGAGAGAGATTTCATATGTTGTGTCTACGGGACCAGCACAAAATAAATGTTGTGTCACTTAAGTTCTTCTTGAATCCTAAACACAGCTTTAGGAACACTAGCATAGCTATTTCCCCTGTGTGTGACCTAGAGACCGTCTTCTTTTATGACGTACTTATGTTCTGATTTGTTTTTATTGTCTGTAACATTAAATGTGTTATGCTGTGTTGGAGATTATTAATCTGAAAGAGGCTTTACCTAGTTTGACTTTTATGTAAATAAGATTATTAAAGAACATGCCACAACTTAGTGTGCAATCTAAGCAAAGAAAAATATAAAATGTGCCTATAAGTAAAATAAATAATGGAAAAATATAAGAAAAAGCTTAACAAATTAAGTTTTAGAAAAATCTAACAGCAAGTGTTTCATGTACATATACTACACTTTCATTCATATAAACATGTGTTTTAGAGCAGTGCTTCTCAAACTTTTTTCAGTAATGTTCCCCCTTTGAAACATTTTCTCAGCCAAGTACCCCCTGACCGATCCCGAAAATGTTTGATCGAAAAAGCCTATATAAATAATTACAATATAGTGATGTTCCCTCAGTGTGTGATGTATTAACTCCTTCGTGGTATGCATTACAACAAACTAAGGATATTTTCATTGTATGCATGAAAAAATAATAACATAACACTTTTTCCAAGGAGTTTAAGTAATATGTTATTGTGAAAAACTATACAATACAATACATACATTTGACATGTTTATATGAGGACCCCCTTGGTGGTTCTAGGAATGTTTTATATAAAATTGTGTTTTCTATTTAACTTATTTTATTAAGATTATTTTTTTAATTAACCTTTTTTTTTTTTAAATCTCACGTACCCCCTGCAGTACCCCAACGTACCCCCAGGGGTCCGCGTACCCCCATTTGAGAATCACTGTTTTAGAGCATCAACACAATAATACAAAAAAAAAGTGATTATATTGCGATACTAAAGTGAATGGATCTTTTTTACACTCTATATAAATATTTTCCAGCGGGCGATTACCAAATGAAAGAATAATACTCTCAATCAGAAGTGACCGCTGTTCATTCTCTCAATGTTCTGCCATTTCAACCACACATCCATCCAGAGCGTGCCAGACATCTTTCTCTAATTATGTTGCTGAAAGAAACTCAAAGGAAGGAAACACTGACCAGAGGCTTTGCAATTCTTGGACTCTCTTTCACACCATGATCAATGAACTAACGTGCAATTTCATATGATGTAACAGCTGGGGCTGAGACCAAGAATGACCAAGGACATACTGAACAGAGGCCGCTGTGATGCGTCGTGTGGTATCAGAAGAGTTTAAATTGTTATGTGAGAAAGAAACCACTTTTAATCAAGAGGAGAGATGTGGTGTGGTGCTCACCAAGGAGTCGTCTCCCAAATAGTCTTTGAGGTTTTGTGCTGCGCCAGCTCCAGGATCCTGCCAAGAAAACATTCCCAAAAAACACAAATCAGCTTTAAATCGAGTCGGATACAGAGACTCTGGGCAGAACGTGCAATCACTCCGTTTCTCTCTCTGGCATCAAACAACGGGTCTCACTCTTCAGCTAACAGGCTGGCTTCAAACTGAAAACCTCAATGGGAAGCTGATCAAAGTCACTGTCAATATTTATCCACGATTACAGAGGTTTTACTTTTCAGGACTGACATTTACACGTTTTCTTTATTCCACGAGTAACCCCTTGAAGAGGACGTATTATTAATAACACATAAGCGGCAGACATAACAGCATTCAAAGTGTCTAAAGTGAAAAGTATTTATTTGTATAACTCATCCTATGGAGACACATATATATATTTATCAAAGTCAAAGTCAACTTTATTGTCAATCTCAAAATATGTTTGTACACACAGAAAGATCGATATACTGTTTCCCACAGTCCCGAGGTATAACAAATCTCACACATTAAAACCCATAAGGACCCACATGAACTTTAAATGTTCTGGAAAGTTCCTTATTCAGCTTTAGCCTTTATTTTATCTCATGAAGTCCCTCAGTGACACACCCTGAACTGTCTGGGGGGTCCTGGTCCAGGACATGTGATTTTGTGTTCCCATGACAACATGTCCAAGATGTCCATGTGCCAGACTAACACATGTGACAGAACATTTCAAAAGCTTTTTTGTTGCTAAAAGTACAATTCAAGCCATTTAAGAATTGAAATGCTTACATAACATGTCCTTTATTACATTGAACCTGTTGTGGAAACATTTATTGATTAAATTGATATGAAACAAATGAGACAAACATCGCTGTAACATCGGGACTTTAACCCTAAACTTTCACAGTAAACCCAAAGTGACATATATGCACAATTAGAAATATGATTATGATCTGCTCAGTTAATTTAGCTGATTCAATTATATTGAGTTAATTTGTTCTTATTCTTCAATTCAAAGAATGTTCAAACTAATTTTAAGTTAAAAATAAGAGTTACTTTGCCATTAAAGCCCATCAATGGGACATATATGTCACTTTTCAGATATTTGTCTCTAGGGGGGGGTTACTTGTCAGAAATGTGTTCTAGGTGGTCTATTTAGTCTAAATGATGTTCCCCTTAATTTCCCCAAAAGTAGAAATGGGTCCGGGTTCTTATGGGTTAAAATCCAAGAACACTCAATAATTTACAAAAAAACACAAAATAACCATTTACTTGAAGTAAGCAGGATATATATAAAAAAGATGATGTACATAGTGCAAATGGGAGTGCACAATTGTCCATAGCAGCGTAAAAGTGACTGGTGCTGGATTTAGAGATGTGACATACTATAATATAGCTTTATTATTTCTTCTAAAATACTATTTCTGTCAACTTTTAAACCCCATATTATTTATTACTATGATAATCTCCATATTGGCGCCCTTGTATATCTGATTAATGTCCTTTTTCTTCGTTGTTTAATTGAAAGGGGACCTATCATGCAAAATGCACTTTTTGATGTCTTGTATACATAAAGATGTGTCCCCGGTGTGTCGGGGAACTCACGCAGCGTCAGAAAATAAAACCCTCTCTCTTTTCCTCCGTACCCAAATCTCTAAAAACGGGGCTATAACGGAGCTGATCCAGATTTGCGTCCGATATGACGTAATATCTGAAATGTGGACCCACGGGCCAATCAGAAACGTTGCTATCAGAAACATTGGTCGACTGTTTTGGACGTAATATGGTCGGTGTTTACATTAGCATCGCTAACACTCAGAGCTAACCTGTACTGGAGAGCATGTGTGTGAAGAAGCAGGAAATAAAAAGGAACTCACCTTGTGGTGTAACCGGCAAGAGAGAAAGCCTTTGAGCTCCAAACTGTTTCAGAGAGAATCCTTGATAATCCATGATATGGCGTTTCATCACGGCAGTATTTAGTTTAGACGGTAGCTGCCGGGTCCCGCATGAGCTCAGACCCCTCCTCTTTTATTTTTTAAATAGATTTTCAAATTTTTTAAAGCTTTATACCCAAATCAGCACTTTTGAAACAGGAAGTGAAATAGAGGGATATGAGGCATGGCTAGAATGGGTGATCTGCTTGGTATTTTGAGCAAAACACTTCATAGACATGTTTTTTATATATTTGTATATATCTGAGACCTAAGCTATTGCCTACAAATAGCATGATAGGTGACCTTTAACATCAATTTTCGTAACTACCACCATAGATTTGACCTTTTCTCTTAGAACAGAATTCTTAAACTTAAAAGCTTTTAGAAAATGATGCAACTTTTATGTCTTTATCGGAATAACTACAGTATTGTCTTCTTTTGTATTATGAAATTATTGTCATTTAATGGTCTTCATATAAGCTTTTCCACTTATGTGTGTTCTATGTTTGCTCCTACTGTTTACCAGACAACAATAACACACTAAAAACGAATTTTGATGTAGGTAAAACACAATAAGTGCATCTAAAAAGTGTGAACTTTATAACAAATTTGATGTGACCTCACCTTTCTGATGGACCAAATCTGGACAGAATCCCTGCAGGAATGAACAAGAAAGTAAATTAGGATGAAAATACAAGACATTTAAACACACAGTTTACAGCTAGTACCTGTACGTTGTTTTGCAGACATCTCTCCTCTCTGCAGGATGGGTCCGCTTGCACTAATCTCCTGCTGTTGCTATGCAGCCAGGAGTCCTTAGCAACCATCTGAGGACTCCTTGAAACTGGAGTCTGTGAACTGTCCCAAGACGTACGTTTGAAAGTAAGTGATACATGCAGGTCAGCTTGGATCAGATTTCAGAGGAGTACTGTGATGGTCGACGACAGATTAAATATCAGATGTTAAGACAAATATATTTTTTCCCCGTTAAGAAATATGTAGAAGCCATAGAGTAGACTGTAGCCTATAAAACGGTAGAAGCCCTTTGGAGGCAAAGGATACAAAGAGCATTCTGGAGATCTATTGTTTCAGTGTGATATAGCCTATCAAATATTGTGATTATTAGTAAAGAACAGATACCAAAAAAGGTTTTGCATGGTTACTTTTTTTCCATCTGTTAAAATAGGATGGGAAATAAAGGTTTCGCGTTTTTGTATTTGTTGATGTAATACTCATTTTAGCCACAAGAGGCTGAAGTGTAGCACTACAGGTGATATATAACAGTGTGTGATAGCAATGAATGTAATCCAGTTATATATCAAGGGAAATAATGATTCATTTAAATGAGGACTTTACTCTACTACAGTAATGAAGTTTAATCACATATGAAAGCTTCAGAATCAGGTTTATTGTCAGGTAGGTTTTAATACATAAGAAATGTGCTTTGTATAAGGGTAAGTCTCTGAAAAAAAGGCTTACATTTAAAAAATATATACTTAAATTGAGAAGCATAATAACTGGGAAGTGTATGCCTGGGTTTCTCTTTAAATAATTGATTGTGTTTTTTAGAAATATAAACATATTTACCCTTTTTTTCTTGACATTTGTAAAGCGACCCCTCACGTTGTACAATTAAGCTCTCCATATATGCTATAATACATATACGTTTTGGACGTAAAATGTATGATATTTCATTCTATGAAACGCATGCCTTTGTCCATGTGCGTCTGTATTCATCATGAGTTCAATTCCCATATCTACATTAAAAACAAACCACACAACAACCAACACATTTAGTGGAAACAATTTATTTAAGTGTGAAAAAATACATTCAAACTATTCACACACATACTGTCTGTCTGACATTTTGGTTTTGGTAAAAGGCTCTGAAAATGTAGATGAAATAAAAAAGTGCTTATTTTTTTAAACCTCCTTAGAAATGGTACTCGTGAAGGCTTTGCACAAAACAATGTATTTCCCTTTTTATCCCAATGCTTACAGACAGATTTCACCAAATAAAAAAGCATTAAGACTTAGTAACAAGCAGCTGTGTCGGCTCTCTAAACAACAAAAACACCACGCTAATACAAAAGCGACTAGAAAAGTAAAACCCTATTTAAGATGAACACTTATCAAAGTATTTACGGACATTCATGATAAAACCAAATGTTTTTTACAAAGCTGTAATCCAACAATAACCCCCTGCAGTAATAGTGATCGGGTAGTGTTAAGGTTTAGTGGCTAGGCGTCTGATTTTCATAATGAAATGACAATAAAACGTGTATTATTAAGGCAGATCTGACTCTAATTGCTAAGTTAAACCACTGTTGTATTCAGACATTCAGACATCGCTTGGGTGGTAATATTGGAGAATGCAGCATTTTTTCAATTAACCAACAGAAAAACCCTTCCCAGTGTTGCCTGCTCTTTTAGGTAACTAGCACCACTAGCTCAAAGGTGGCTAAATCTATCAAGAAAGTGTCCGTTTCTCAATGTTGAGTATACCTGCTGCAGAGCCACCATTTCAAGTATACTACGTCATCGAGTGGCGCCGAATGCTGGGCATTTAAACAGTCCTTCGGCGCCACTCGAAGACGTAGTATACTTGAAATAGTGGCTCTGCAGCAGGTTTACTCGACATTGAGAAACGGCCCGATTCCACTCCAAAGCCACTCCCCCAAAATGACCCGGATGAACATATTATGATGAACGTAACAAGAAGAAGAAGACATGGCTTTTCCGAGCATTCACAGCAACATATAGTGCTCTTTTTTTGTTTCTGGTTTCTAAATGAAAATGACCCACCCTAGCTTTAGGTAGTTGTGGTGTTATATGTGGTGTAATTGTGCTATTTCTTTATCAGTTGAAATATTAACGGGTCATCAACAGGTTTTTTTTTTTAAAGCTGCAATAGTTAATATGCATGTTACCGTGCGAAATGGCAGAAAGAGGTCACTGCTTGAAAAGTTGAAAACATATATATCCCGTACCACCTGAATAGAGCAGCCTTTTTTTGTGTGTTTTGCCAAAATGTGAAGTGATAATACCAGATCTTAATCAGTAGCCTTGTATTAGGTTTACATGATGGCTTTCCCCCCATAAAAAAGATCATAGGACAGCTTTGAGAGTCGAGGTATTTAATATTCTTCAGATCACGACACATGAAGAACATTATGATGCAGACCAGGTTAGAAAAATAACTCTGTTAGTGCCGACAGTGCTTTTACATTTTGTTTTCTTACATTACAAATTGATGCTAAACGACTGTTAGCAATGTTGGTGCTAAAGCTGATGGCTTGATCAAACCTACACCCTGAAATGAAGCCTCTTGAGATTCTGTACCATCAGGCGATCTGCGGTAAAACCTGAACTGTTTCAACATCTACCGCTGAGAGGCTTTAGGAATAAGACGCACAGTAACAGTCTGTAAAGTGGAACATGTATGGCTCTGTTGATGACGCTCAACATCCGCTTTGGTGAAAATAAATCTTTGGTGAATATAACGTTTGAACATAAGCGTGTCCAGTAGGCCTTAAGTTTAAATTAAGACAACAAAATAACTCATTGTTGGTTGTAACGGTTGAAGAACAAAAATGTTTGAAGTTTGGAACAAATCCAGAATCTACTTTATAACCCCGAAACAAAAACGGTTAAATACTTTTAAATGTTCTTATTCATAAATAAAGTGCCAGCCTACCTGGTGTAGTGAAAAGATTAACAGAGAACGTGTTAAATCAAAGTCAAAAGCAGAGGTTTAAGGATGAGATGTGTCCTATCTGCTGTCAGAGACCATCTGCAGGATCAGCTCTCGAGCGTCCTGAACGCCAGAGCTGAGCTCGCCCTCGCCCTTCTTCACGTGGGTCCCGATGAGGAACAACCTGCGGTCCCCGGCCTCAGAGAGGGACAGAGCGTCGTGCAGATCTGTGATGCTGCAGGCTCCTGGGAGGTCCTGGAAACACAAGGTCGACATGAGGAGACATCCGGCGGCAGAATTAACTTTTTTTCAAAGACATACACGATATACAGTGAGTAGGTACCCGAAACCTTTACATGGCGTACAAGAAAAGAAGAAAAAGGCTGGGTATTGACAGTTCCTGAGAATAGTCTAAAGCTGCCAGTCGACAGTATCGCAGATACAAATAAAAAGGCCAAGTAACCCACTAACAACAACAACAACAAAAAAATATCGAAAGGAGGAAAAGTGCAAAAATAAATAAAAAATAAAAAACTGGGGATGGGTTGCTTTTATCTTTTTAATGCTATTTTATTTCTATTTCTGAAATATATTGGACTGTTTATTTCTGTGTCTTAGTTTCTCTTATGTAGGGATGCTCCGATCGATAAGCCGCCACAATAGAATAGCGGTATGCAACGTGTGTGAAGCAGAAATCCTGCAGCTCCGCCCGCTGTGACGGACTGGTGAGCGAAACACACACTAAGAGTTAGACCTAACACACTTAGCTATTTTATCTACCTCTGGAACAAGCTCAACAATTATATGTTTATTCTTTACTGTCGGGTCACTCATTACTGGATAATTGAGCTGCATGAGATACTGACAGGCTGTCAGGAGTAGGGCTGTCCCGAATACCATTTTTGGGCTCCGGATAGCTATTCAGTAGCAATCAGCAGCGAATATTCGGCCCGCGCGGGGGGGCGTAGTAATCAGCAGCGAACCGCTTCAACACGTGTATTTCGGTTTATTCACGGCATTCATTTTGTTCTACAGTATTGTTGTTTTATAGTTATTTGTTAATGTATATAACCCAATTTGTGTTCTTTGAAATTGAAAAGGATATTGCATTGTTACTTTCGTTGCAGTTGTATATGTCGTGTAATTTGGCTTGGCTTCCTATTTTGTATGGACATGCTTTTATTTTGAAGGAGAGTTAGCGCTGTTGACAGGAAGTTGTTGTTGCTATGGAAACAACGTGACGGAGATTAACGGAGAAAAAGTCATATCTACATATAAAGACGGAGAAAGTAAACGATAAAGTGTATGGTTAAGTGTTAGCACCCCCCGAAGAGGCACAAGCTGAAACCTGAATAGTACTCCAACGAACGAATATTCGGATATTCGGGTACAGCCCTAGTCAGGAGAGAGAGAGAGAGGAAAAGAGAGCGCTTCTGCTAATTTCTCCCGTGTTATTCTCCAAAGTGAATGTAAACTTGAATAATGTACTTCATTTGAATGTAATAATTAGGTTGGTTGTTGTTTGTGGAAGGGCCAGTGAATGAGCCCCATTAACTGAGTTTTAAACATCACTTTTAATGGAAGATCCCCATAGGCCCCGCCCACTCGATCGGATCGGTCGATACTGATTCCGTTGATCGGCCCCAAAATTGGTGATCGGAGCATCCCTACTCTTATGTAATGCAAACATTTCCCAAATTGGGATCAATAAAGTACATATCTATCTATCTATCCATCCATCCATCCATCCATCTATCTGTCCGTCTATCTATCTATCAAACATCAGACAAAATTAAGAATTACACAGTCTTTACAGAGTGAGTAAACTACAAGCAGCAGCAGAGCTCTTTAATTAAATTATCAATTATCCTCGAGCAATGTCAGAAACGGTTTCCACACCTTAATAAAGCAATCCTGTGAATTCCGTTATAGTGAGTTTGCTCCATCCTAGCAGAGGGAATCATTTCGGATAGCCACCTCCTGAAGCACGGGGGATTTCCTACCTGTTTTAATATTTCGGTAATGCCTGTTTTGCTTTTTTTCAACTTTCCCACTTGGATAATTTGTGTCCGAGTTTTCCTACCAACCATAATTAAACGTTCAGCTTTTGTGTAATCGAAAGGCAAAATTACTACGATTTTTAATTAATGCTGAAGAATTATAAAGAGGAAATTATTGATATATTTATTATATTTTTTTCTACAAAGGGTAGATTTTTGTATAATAATATATTGTTATATATAATTGTGTACGAACAAAACAGCATTTCCTTATACGAGTCAAAGAAAGAAAACATTATGCAGCGGATTGTGGAAAAATGCTAAATAAACTGAACTTTTAAATCAAACAAAGTGTACTTTTACCTTGATTCTTTATCACCATTCACATGACAACTCTTTTAATTAATACTTGTTGTATAAGCAATTATGCAAAAACTTTACTGCCAAAAGCTTCTGGTCTGGTTCCAAATGAAAATCATTGCTGTCACTTAGACACTGAGATGGATGTTTTTTAATTATTTCTCACAATTGTTAAGATCAAACCACAAAAAGTATGAATCAATTAATATTATATTGCATCCCATGTGAACACAAAGTCTCTATTTATATGTTTTACATGTATTTTACTGTTCAAATGTCTTTGATGACGAGAGGTTTGCAGGCTTTTAATAATTATATTAATAATACATTTTATTTAAGGGGCCTTTCATGACACCGTACAATTTGTTAAATATTCTAAGAGGCAACAGAACATGATAAAAACACAAACATACCATCATGCAGAAGACAATTCAAGTGGACACAGACGATAGGGACAGGTTATTCAGGGGAAACAGATAAACAGATTTGTTGAAACGGTGTGGAGTGTTTGTTCTGTCACGCTCACCTGCTTGTTGGCCAGTACCATGAGAGGCAGGCGGGGCCGGGGGTCAGAGGTCAGCAGCTCATGGAGATGCTTCTTAGCGACGGGGAAGAGCTCTGGGTTGGAGGAGTCGACCACGAACACCAGCAGCAGCGCCTTGGACATGTACTTCTGCCAGTAGGGCCTCAGCTCCGCTTTACCTCCAACTGAAACACAGATGTAGTTCCGTCTAATCCAAAAATCAATACATCCAAAAGTAGCAATAAGCTTGAGTCCAACAAAAATACGTCTCTGGAAAGTTTGGTTGACTCTTTACTTAAAGGTCTCCTATCATGCTATTTTTAGGCAATAGCATAGGTCTCAGATATATACAAATATATAAAAAACATGTCTATGAAGTGTTTTGCTCAAAATACGAAGCAGATCACCCATTCTAGCCATGCCTCGTATCCCTCGATTTCACTTCCTGTTTCAAAAGTGCTGATTTTGGGTATAAAGCTTTAAAAAAATAAAAAATTGATAAAAAATAAAAAGAAGGGGTCTGAGCTCATGCGGGACCCGGCAGCTACCGTCTAAACTAAATGCTGCCGTGATGAAACGCCATATCATGGATGATCAAGGATTATCTCTGAAACAGTCTGGAGCTCAAAGGCTTTCTCTCTTGCCGGTTATACCACAAGGTGAGTTCCTTTTTACTTCCTGCTTCTTCACACACATGCTCTTCAGTACAGGTTAGCTCTGAGTCTTAGCGATGCTAATGTAAACACCAACCACATTACGTCCAAAACAGTCGGGCATTGTTTCTGATAGCAACTGTCTGATAGTGCTGTGGGTCCACATTTCCGATATTATGTCATATCGGACGCAAATCTGGATCAGCTCCGTAGCCCCGATTTTAGAGATTTGGGTACGGAGGAAAAGAGAGAGGGTTTTATTTTCTGATGCTGCGTGAGTTCCATTACCAGCAGTCGGCTATGACGTCACGCAATTACAAGCATAGATGAGTGAGAATGGGACATCCACACCAAACTCGGACTGATGGAGTGGTGCAGGAATGAGTCCTGAACCTTGAATCAAGTGAGCATTTTTAGTACTTCCTGATTCCTTGATCTTGACATCAATTGTTTTTTTGAAGGAGTTAGATTCTTGGAATAAAGCGTTTTATTATCACAGGCTTACGAGTTTTTCACTTTTTTTTATTTTATCAAGGACATAAAGTGCGTCAGTAAATACCCTAATTGTGAATATCTGAAGCACTTTTGTGTCATAAAATGGCTGTTGCCAACTAAGTGACTAAATAAGACTACTCACGTTATCATGCTGAACATTAGCCACTTAGTGGTGGCGATGTGACGTCATGTGACCAAGATGTAGTTCATTTATAGCATTGCGTTAGCTTTTTACTTTTGGCTATTGCATTTAAGCTTCAATTCTTTTAAAAGTGGTGTTAATATGTGGAGATTATCCTGCAACTTTAAAAAGTACAATGGAAAAATCCTATAGGCTTTTAGTCAAAGAAGCCCTTGCAATGCTAACAGAGCCGGCCCGACCCATTAAGCGACATAAGCGGCCGCTTAGGGCCCCGCAGCAAAAATAAATAAAAAAATACCGTCACCGTGATAAGTATGTTTAATTAATTGTGTTAATATGCCTAGATTGCCTACTCTCAAAGTCATGTATTATATTATTGAGTCAATAATATAATACATTAGCCATGCTTTACCTAAACCTCATCATGACACAAGAGAGGACGGCAGGATTGTAATTTCCCGTGATCAGTGAATGCAACAGAGGCAAGACACCAGACATCTGTCTTATTGGCTGACGGGTACCTATCCTGTGAGCTGTGACAATGTTTAAACTGTCAGTCGGACTCAGAGTTTTTGAAGACAAAAAAGTGGTGGCTCACACAACAACCCCAGAGCCACCACTTGAGCCAGGTAAACAAGGTATGTAAATGTCAGTAAACTTCCAAGTTATGCGAACATGTAAGCAAAGCACAAATTACAGCTACGTTGACGTTACTTTGAATCGCGGGAGTAAGCTAAACCGTTAGCAAGTAGCTATAGCTAGCCAGATATATTAAATAAACACTTTGTCATACAATCTAAATGTAATGTTTTTTAGCGTTACCTGGTGATTTCAAAGAAAGCTCTCAGGGAAATGTTGACTTACTGTCTGTGTTCGACATGAAGCTAGAAGCTACCTTACAATACACAGTTGATCCGGAGTCCAGTCAGTTAAAGTGTTTCATAGTTAGCTAAGCATCAACCTAGCACTGAAATATATGGATGTTATGTGACAGTATTTCTGAGAAAAAGTCAGCTGAAATGGTGGTATAGTTGCCACTGCTTTACGTGTCGACAGCATGTTTGAACGTATTTGCAGCAGTAGATGTGGCTGTTTGGCCACTGACGTTGCCATAACAACACCTGAATTTAAATGTGCAACCTCTTTTTGTGACAGATTTTTGCAAGAAATTATAATTCTTCTGAATGATATTCCTATTGACAGCTAGTTTCTATGTGAACATTATGAGATGGACAGCCAGAGAGAATAAATGAAAAACAGTTATGAAATACTATATGACAAAACAAGAATACAGTTTAAGTGATTTGTAAAATATCTATAAACAAAAATCTAGAGGAGGTTAGGTCCACGGTGTTTACATGCTTATTTATACAATATGTGTGCTTATGCTAACATCATAAGACAAAAGTTGCTTTTGTGTTGTGTGTAGAGAGAACACGCTAGAGTGAGGGGGGCCCCCAAGCCAAAGCTCGCTTAGGGCCCCCAAAAGTCTAGGGCCTGCCCTGAATGCTAACATCTGCCATTAGGTTACAAAAATCGGAGCAGAAGTGAGTGGTCACATTGTGGACTTAATACTAGTTGAACATAACATTTTACATTTGTATGTGTTTTTATATGTTTCTAGTTATTGTGCTTTTTATTTTATTATTTTTCTCCCATTGTGTTATTTTATATTGTATTTATTCCCAGTACAGCACTTTGGTCAACTGAGGTTGTTGTTATGAGCGGTCAGAAAAATCAACGCGCATGCACATTAAAGTTCAGATATCGCCGATTATTTAGAGAAAAAAAACTGACAAAATATTAAACAAAACTCTAAACTCTTAACCAAAAGATTCAAAGCCATACGGCGTATATCTTGGGTGCATTTTCTCCTTCACCACGCGCGGTCTCTATCGTGCGGTTAATAAATAGTTTCCCTCGACTCAACATGAGCACCTGTCACCTGTCGTCTATTAAAGGGCCAAAGCCACGCCTATGTGACGTCACCATAATAACCCATTGATAGTCGGCATCAATCAAAACAATAATTCATATAAATAATAAAACATCATATCCAAGTCATTCATAATATTTCATTAGAAATAGAAATAAGATGAGATAAGAAATGCTAAATGGCTTCAACAGTTGTTTTAAATGTGCTATATAAATAAATAAAGATTGCGATTGAGGACTTACTCTCCAGGAACTCGATGTGCAGGTCCTCCCGGCTGATGGACACGGCGTTGAAGCCCTGCGTGGGCTCCATGTCGTGCTCCAGGCAGCCGGTGGACAGGCAGTGCAGCAGGCTGGTCTTACCGGCTCCATCCAGACCCAGAACCAGAACCTGGGTCCCTGCTGACTCCACAGGCTTGGACTAGAGCACACACAGAACCAGCACACATCAGATTTAGGCGGAAAACTATCTGACATACACACGTTTCTGTACCATGAAGACACACATTTGACCTTTGAGAAATGTTTCATCAAAAATATTGAATGGCGGTTTGGTGCAGACAGTTCATATTAAAGCAGTTGCTAGTTGTACTGAGCTGTTAGTATGAATCAGTAAGTGTGCATTATAAGATTTGTGTAATCAATTATTTAAATGTATGTCTGATTCATTTGATCTATGTTTTAATCACAGCTTTAGAGCCGGTACTATTAAAAGTAATCCCCTGAGCCATTAAAAAAATACTGCCAATGAGTTTATATTTTAAGTTTAATATGTGGTCTATTTCAAGACTGCAACTGATTTGAACGGATTAGTCATCATAGTCTAATGAGCAGAACGCGGTAGAAGATATATTACTATTTATATTACTGTCGTGTAAAATGTAGGAAACCAGGATTTTTTTTAATTCAAATACATGTAACAATGTCAAAGGTTTTACATTTTCTGTCACTCAAATAACTTATATTTTGTTTAACTTCTAATATAATTAATACAATATAATATAATTATCAGGTTACTTAGCACTACATATCCCAGAATTCCCCATGGCAACATCCAAAGAACTAGCATGAACTTGTGTACATAAAATATAGCTTAGCTGTTTTTAGTTGTAGTTTATACACCCTGGAAGATGTTCATAATAAAAGATAAACTTAAATCACTAAGCTGCTGTTATTTAGAGTATTTTCGTTCACGTTTTAATCCTGAAACTAAAGTTGTTTTAGGTGAGGAGAAACGTACAGTCTCCCCTTGTAAGTATATCTGGATGTCAATTTTAAGTGCAAAGGTATATTTAGAAGTAAATAATACTACACTACCACCAACGGTTTCTAATGGAAGGTGTGTCCATGGTAACGTTTTTACCTCGGGTGCTTTCGGAGCTTCTGAAGCGACAACCGGCGCAACAGCAGCGGCGACAACAGTTTGTTCAACCATAGTTTCCTCCTTTATTTCCCCTTCATCTTCGGCCTTTTTACCGTCTTCCTCCGGCCGTGTTTCGGTCTCCTTCTCCCCGGGGGAGGACGCGTAGTTCCAGACAAGATAAGCGACTCCTCCAGCCATAGCCACGGAGGCACCGAGGACACCGGCTGTCTTCAACCCAAACATCGTGCTCAACCGCCGGATTAGTGATCTACAAACTGCCGCTTTTTTTTACCCGTCCGTTTTAACCATTGTTTTTACTTTAATTGGTTATTTCACTCCTCGTTATCCTCTATAAATCAACAAGTGGATTAACAGACAGGAAGCTGAACTCCTCCACACGATACTTCCGGAAAGAAGTGCGCCGATTTAATTTGAAGCAGTGTTACCAACTCACCGCTTGATGGCGCCATTATTCTTTGTATTTTCAATATATCAACACAACTCTTGGCTCCTTTTCATTACATTACATGTTACACGCTTTTATCCAAAGCGACTTACATACTCAATACTGTGGACAATCCCCACAGGAGCAATTTTGGGGTGAAGTGTCAGTGGGGTCTGAACCTGTTCGGCTCCCCTGATCCGAACACCAAGGCTCTATCCACTGCGCCACACGCATAGTCTATGATTATACCCAGTGGTAGAAAATAGGTCCACTACGTGTACTTCATCGTGACATTAACAATAGCCTACTGACTACGACTACGACTACAAATAATTAAAAAGAATAATGGGAGGATGGTAAAAAATACAAATTCCCACTTTTATCAATATTCAGAGTCAGGATTATTTTGTGAAAAAACGCTATCATTGGGTTTATTTAATGTCTTCCATATATGTTTACACTGCACGTGTGCTTATTTCAACTTGAATGTGCTTCTCGTTTCTGAGTTTTCCTTGTGATAGGTCTTTGGGCGCATGGGACTATTGTTTTATTCCTATAATCAAATTGTAGTCCCAAAAATGTATTAAAATATTGAGTTCTTACTCTTATACTAAATATAGAATCTTAAGAAGATCTCACTTCAGCAGAACAGTTTGACTGATTTGAACAAAAAATAAATATATCAATAAAACATTTATAAAAGACCATTAAGTAGTTGGGTTAGACGTTTAGTTTGTATGGATTTTGGTTAGTGTGACTTTAGATTGTAATGTTTCTGTATAATACATGAACTCTCTCAATTCTATATGTATTAATTATATATAATGTAAATACTGTGATTATTGTAAGGGCCCCAGTTCTCAAGCTTCCTATACCTTGTTGGGGTGTCCCATTTCACATGTCTCCATTATGTCTTAAGATTGTACTTGTTTTTGAAAATGTAAACTTGTGAATATAAAATAAAATGAGAATAGGCAATCCTAGAAAACACTTCCCATTTGTGGCCATAACTGAAATATATATATATATATATATATATATTTCAGTTATGGCCACAAATATATATATATACCACCATATTTTTAACCACTCAAAATAATGACAAAAATGCACCATACCAACATGGATTTGCTAGGAGAAGCCAAAGATTTTACTAAGTTGTGATGAGTTTTATATATATATATATATATTTCAGTTATGGCCACAAATGGGAAGTGTTTTCTAGGATTGCCTATTCTCATTTTATTTTATATTCACAAGTTTACATTTTCAAAAACAAGTACAATCTTAAGACATAATGGAGACATGTGAAATGGGACACCCCAACAAGGTATAGGAAGCTTGAGATATATATATATATATATATATATATATATATATATATATATATATATATATATATATATACAGTGGGGCAAAAAAGTATTTAGTCAGCCACCAATTGTGCAAGTTCTTCCACTTAAAAAGATGAGAGGCCTGTAATTGTTATCCTAGGAGGTATACCTCAACTATGAGAGACAAAATGAAAAAAAAAAAAAAATACAGAAAATCACATTGTCTGATCCTTAAAGAATTTATTTGCAAATTATGGTGGAAAATAAGTATTTGGTCAATAACAAAAGTTAATCTCAATATTTTGTTATATACCCGTTGTTGGCAATGACAGAGGTCAAACGTTTTCTGTAAGTCTCCACAAGGTTTTCACTCACTGTTGCTGGTATTTTGGCCCATTCCTCCATGCAGATCTCCTCTAGAGCAGTGATGTTTTGGGGCTGTCGCTGGGCAACACAGACTTTCAACTCCCTCCAAATATTTTCTATGGGGTTGAGATCTGGAGACTGGCTAGGCCACTCCAGGACCTTGAAATGCTTCTTACGAAGCCACTCCTTCGTTGCCCGGGCGGTGTGTTTGGGATCATTGTCATGCTGAAAGACCCAGCCACGTTTCATCTTCATCTTCTTGCTGATGGAAGGAGGTTGTCACTCAAAATCTCACGATACATGGCCCCATTCATTCTTTCCTTTACACGGATCAGTCGTCCTGGTCCCTTTGCAGAAAAACAGCCCCAAAGCATGATGTTTCCACCCCCATGTCTCACAGTAGGTGTTCTTTGGATGCAACTCAGCATTCTTTCTCCTCCAAACACGTCTAGTTGAGTTTTTACCAAAAAGTTCTATTTTGGTTTCATCTGACCATATGACATTCTCCCAATCCTCTTCTGGATCATCTAAATGCTCTCTAGCAAACTTCAGACGGGCATGGACATGTACTGGCTTAAGCAGGGGGACACGTCTGGCACTGCAGGATTTGAGTCCCTGGCGGCGTAGTGTGTTACTGATGGTGGTAGCCTTTGTTACTTTGGTCCCAGCTCTCTGCAGGTCCTTGACTCGGTCCCCCCGTGTGGTTCTGGGATTTTTGCTCACCGTTCTTGTGATCATTTTGACCCCACGGGTGAGATCTTGCGTGGAGCCCCAGATCGAGGGAGATTATCAGAGGTCTTGTATGTCTTCCATTTTCTAATAATTGCTCCCACAGTTGATTTCTTCACACCAAGCTGCTTACCTATTGCAGATTCAGTCTTCCCAGCCTGGTGCAGGTCTACAATTTTGTTTCTGGTGTCCTTTGACAGCTCTTTGGTCTTGGCCATAGTGGAGTTTGGAGTGTGACTGTTTGAGGTTGTGGACAGGTGTCTTTTATACTGATAACGAGTTCAAACAGGTGCCATTAATACAGTTAACGAGTGGAGGACAGAGGAGGCTCTTAAAGAAGAAGTTACAGGTCTGTGATAGCCAGAAATCTTGTTTGTTTGTAGGTGACCAAATACTTATTTTACCGAGGAATTTACCAATTCATTCATTAAAAATCCTACAATGTGATTTCCTGGATTCTTTCCCCCCATTCTGTCTCTCATAGTTGAAGTGTACCTAGGATGACAATTACAGGCCTCTCATCTTTTTAAGTGGGAGAACTTGCACAATTGGTGGCTGACTAAATACTTTTTTGCCCCACTGTATATATATATATATATATATATATATATATATATATATATATATATATTTCAGTTATGGCCACAAATGGGTCAAACAAAAAGGTAATTTTCCAATTGAAAATAACTTTATTTAACCTGGAAGAACACAAACAAACAAACAGAACACATGGTTTCAGCTGGAAGACTTCCTCCCTTCCCATCAATCTTTGTAGGGTGGTGTCTGGTTGGTCCTCTTTACCGGCACCCTCTCCTTCTGCTCCGGAGCGCTGAGGAGCCAGACCTGCACCCGGCTCTCGTCCTTCGTCACCCCGAGACTCTTCCAGGTCCGAGCCCTCAGAGAAGGAGGTCTCCTCTTCCTCCCAGACCCATAATGCTGCTCTGATCCCGAGCTGGAGGACTCCACCTTCAGCTTCTCCGGCTGCCGGTGCCTCCGGGCCTTCGGCGCCTCCTGGAAGTTGCTGTAGCTCTTCTGCTTGATGGAGGAGATGAGTCTGGCTCTGCTGCTGCTGGCCTTATAGTCCCTTTCCTCCTCATCCTCCTCCTCCTCATCATCATCCTCATCATCTCCACCGCCACCTTTGTTATCCTGCAAGCAGTGGTGTAAAGAAACAAAGTACATACTACTTAAGTACAATTTTGAGGTACTTGTAACCATTTTATGCTTCTTAATACTTCTACTGTACTACATTTTGGACTTACTTTTACACAACTGGGTACTTGTACTTTAACCGAGTATTCTCAGTTTATGGTAATTTCTACTCTTAAAAGTCAATATTGTACTTTTTACTCCATTACATTTATTTGACAGCTTGGAGTTACTTTTTAGAGATTTAGATTAGCTTGTAAAAGAAAATATATATAAATCAAATGTTACATACACGTTGACATAAATGTAGAGGTTAAGATATCCAGCAGCAGTATATAAAGTATTTAAATTAGCTATACATTTAACAGGTGTGATAAAAACTGTACATTATCAGTAACTCAAGATATGATTCTGAAATGGGCCATTACGTATAAGGATAACTTTTACTCCTACTAATACTCCAGTATAACTTGATGCCGATACTTTTGTACTTTTACTGAAGTAAGGTTTTGAATGCAGGACTTTTACTCGTAACAGTACTTCTGGAATTAAATATTACTATTACCGCCTCTGCTTGTGAGAAGGTCTTCTGCTGCCAGGTGAGGAACTCCGCCATGCAGTCCTTCAGGCGAGCGGTGAAGTCTCGTTGGGTCATGGAGGCCTCACACCTGACCGCCACCGTGTTCTCCTTCAGCTTCTCATACTGGCTCTCAATATTGCTCACCTCATCCAGGATGTCTGCGGAGAAGAGCTCCTGCACGGCCATGGACCTCCCAATAAACTCTGCACATACGTTGTTCTGCTTTCGTTTCCTCAGCTTTAGGAAGGAGAGAAAGTGCGGCATTGCGGTGAAGTGAATGGCTTTTGCTGCAACAAGCTTGTGATAGATGTACACCACATCTTGATGCCCTGAGTTCACTGAGTCCTTGAGAAACTTCTGGATTATGTCCCAGTCCCCCAGGGCGAGTCTAATCGGCACACGGGGGATGGCGAGTTGTGTGTTGTACAAACCAAACATCAGATAAAGGCCTCCCGCCCTGATCTGGTAGCTGTATGGAGGCAAGAAGTACTTCACAGCCGTGGCTAAGGTTACTCTGCTGAACCTCTTCTGCTCAGCCATACTGACGATGCCTATAAAAACATCGGAGAAGCCCATCTGCCTCCAAGCGGCGGAGAAGTACTCGTACCTGATGGAGTCCGACTGCTGGAAACGAGCAAGTAGTTCCTCCACATCTTCAGTCAGAGGATCGTAGAAGAAGTCACTGTAAATAGGTCGTTCACGAGGCATCCTGTCCACAAAATGTGCACCTCAGAAACAGCCAGGAGTCTGAAGGAGCTCTTCAGAGCAAGTGAGGCTTTTCATTAGATAATCACACCCAGTGGA